TCCCAGCAGCCTATGTAGTTAAGCACATTTCAGCCAAAAGACATGTACAAGGGTGGTCTGAGAATCTAAGGAGTATATGCTAGAGATTCCCATATTTGGGCAGCTCGGGCCAGCCTAGGTTACTATGTAGTGAGACTCTGAGCGCAGGGGTCTTTCCTGAGACTGATACTCCAACCAAGTACCATGCATGGAGATAACCTAGAATCCCTGCACAGATGTAGCCCCATGACAGCTCAGTGTCCCGAGAGAGAGTTCCCTAGTAAAGGCAACAGGGGCTGTCTCTGACAAGAATTGATTGGCCTGCTCTGTGATCACCTCCCCCTGAGGGGGAAGCAGCCTCACCAGGCCACAGAAGAAGACAATGCAGCCACTTCTGATGAGAACTGATAGACTAGGATCAGAAGGAAGGAAAAGAAGACTTCCCTTATCATTGGACTTGGGGAGGGGCATAAGAGGAGAAGGGAGAGAGAAGGATTGGGAAGAGTGAAGGGAGCTACGGGGCGGGGGGGATACAAAGTGAATAAAGTGTAATTAATAAAAAATTAAAAAAAAAAAAAGAGGCTCTTTAAAAGTAAAAATCAGCCTCAAAGGAGCTTGGAGTGTAGGCGCGGGAAAAGTCAGTGCTGTGCCATACCTGCCTAGTCATAGGGCAAGAGATTATCACACCTCTGCAGTATTGCCGGTGTGAAACCTATCATACAAAATTACAACACACAGTTACACATAGCACACAATGTAATAAGCAACTGTTATTTCTATGTTTACTGTGTTTTAGTAGTGCATTACCAAAAGTTGCACTGGCAATAGCCATGTTCGTCAACTACCAGTTCAATTAACCTTGGCTAAATGAATTTAAGAGCAGGCTGGGATATGTGAGAGTCTATCAAAAAAAAAAAAAAAAACAAAAAACACAAGGTGCAGGCCTTCCATCTAGTAGGACCCAGAGGCTGCACCCTGCAAGCCTGCCGGATTTTCTGAGTTAGGGTGCTCCCTTTTCTTTCCTACCAAAGCCTGGGCATGCTTTCCTGACACTCTACGCTTTCTCATCCTCCCACCCCCCACCCCCAATTCCTGCCCACCACATGGCTGCTTTTCCCTTCTTTCCCATCTTCCTCCTCTGGGCAGCTCTAAGATTTCCAGCCTGCTTGCCTTATTTTCTCTCAAAACTAATAAAATAGCCCCATTTCAGGGTTCCAGGCACACCTTAAAGGAACCTCATGCTGACTCCAATGCAGCAGCTATCTTCAAGCTTGGCCTAATAACCCTTAAGTCAACCCTTGGAAACCAAAGGGTGTGGGAGTGGGGAGATGATATGGGGTGGAGAGAACATTGACCATGAACCACCAAACAAGCTGGGCATATAGAAACACTTTTGAGGCTACTGAGGGATTCTAAGGAACTTTAGCTGGACACCTTAAAATGTCCTGTCTTGGCTTCCCCTTGAAATGCTAGGCTGTTGTATAAACTCCCACTGCCCCTGTACAAGGAGAATCACATCCTCTTTCTCTGCTCAAAGGGCTCTAGCCTCACTTCTCCCTGACTCTGCTCTTACTTTTACTCCTCCATCATCCCTCAATCCAAAAACCAGTAAAGGACTTCTCATCACATATTAACAAAAACAAGGAAAAATTTTTAAATGAGGAAACTACCCAACAAAACTTCTCCAAACATATCCTTGTCACTAAGGAACAGGGTTACTATACGCTGCAGCACAAATGTGAGGCATGCTTAAGAAGAATGACAACGATAAAATTTAAGAAGTTTATTAAAGCATTTTATCACAAAGATGGAAATGTACAAATTAGAAGCATGCAACCATCATCTCCCATGGTCAAATCAAAATGTTATTTGTTTTTCCTGTTTCAAAGAGCTGGAAACTGTAGATCTTACACCCAACTCATTCATCCTAAACAATGTAATCATTCTCTGGAAACTATCCAGGGCATCAATATCCAAAACACAAACCGTTATACAAAGAAAGTGCAAAGTTAAAAAAGAAAATATGGAGACTACCCTTCCCCCCCACCCCTTAGGTAAAGGCTACCAATGGCACTTTGCTTTTGCTTAACCTAGATTGTCTTCAAAAAGTTCCTAAAATGTGACACTTAACGAAAAGTTTTTAATAAATGTTCAAAAGCTCCTTAGTGTTTGAAAATAAATGCTCAGACAAGACAGTGCACTTTATATCAAACATGTCTGAGAGCCCTGCATTGCAGCTTTCTGTAAAATAAACAAGACAAGAAGCTGGTATAGGGTTTATTGACAAGGCAGACCGTCCTCAGGCAGACAGGTAAGGAGGCGGTGGCTCTTTCTCAGGCATCTTCACAGCCATTTCATAGGTTGGCAAAACGTACTGAAGAGAGAAAAGAATTACATTAGACAAGTCCCTTTAAGTTCTTTTCTAGAATAATCAGCATTTAGACTCCATGTCCTAAGCAGGAGCACACAACCCTGAGGGCGACAAAAGGTGAGCTCAGCAGTTTCTAAGAACTCAGGCGGCAGAGCAGCTTAAACGCCACACTCAGTGATACTGGATGGATGAGTGGAGTGTGTGGTCATTTGAATAAGAATGGTCCCCACCATTCTTGTATATTTGAATGCTTAATCACCAGAGAGTGGAATTCTTTGCTAGGGTTAGAAAAATTAGGAGTGGCCTTGGAGGAAGTGTGTTACTGGGGGTAGGCTTTAAGGTTCCAAAAGCTATCAGGCCTAGTCAATCTGTCTCTTTCTCTCTCCACTCTCTCCATACTTTCTCTGCTTGTTTATCAAGATGTACCTCTCAGCTACTTCTCCAGCACCATGAGTGCTGCCATTCTTCCTGCCATGATTACAGACTAAGCCTCTAAAACTCAATTAAGTGATTTCTTTTTTTAAGAATTGCCTTGGTCACACTGTCTCTTCACAGCAACAGAACAGTGACCAAGACAAGATGGACAGATAGATGAGATGGATGGATGGATGGACTGATAGGTGGATGGATGAATGGATGCATATAGATGGATGGGTAGGATGGATGAGACGATACAAAGCAGTCAGAATTAGAATTCTTCCTCTGGACTAACCCGGAAAATGGACTAACACACTAACCCATATATAAAATTAAAAAATACAAAGGGTCTCCTGACAGTGTGACTGTACTTAAAGGGCTAAGGATCTGGGGGAAGAACCCTACTAACCACTCTACAACGAGCTGCCAGTGATCCAAGCTTCATGATAATCTATACTCTAATGACAATGACCTTCTATTCTGCTCTTTGGGATATTAGAAAACCTTCTCAAGTCCACTTTAGCCTAGTAAACTCCAAATGACAGGCTGGGCCACATGTATTGTATACACTGAAAACCTGGGAAGAGTGCAGGGCAGGCAAGAAGGTGCTGAGGTGCACCCAGCACTCAGACTTCCTCACATCATCTCCCCAAAGATCCAGCTTTGGATCTTACAGATACACAAACACATACAGCACACACACACACACACACACAAAACCACATACACACAATCAGAAGCTTGCCTCCCTTATAAGCCTCGCAAGCCAATTATAGATATTCCTAGCTTATCTGTCTAGAACTGATTGTGGGAACCAATAACAAATAAACCTAACAGTCAAGCTAGGCAAACAGTGCAGAGTGCTCTAACCCGTGTGCACAAGATTCTCGGTAGAAAATGCTAAATCTTATACATTCATGTGTTCCAGACATTCAAGTTCCAAAGCACAGTTATGGTACAGATCAGAAAGTCAGGGCCCACATTCACTTCTGAAGGCATCAGTAAGAGAGTGACAGTTTGGTGAGTGTAATTTACCTGTGGAGGTGCTTCAAAGGCAGGGTACACAGCAATCTCTGGCACATTTCTGTTGTTGATGTATTTGTAGCAGTTCCAAACACAATTGATTAGGTAAGCCTGAAAGGAAAAACAGAATTCAGCAGCCTACTCTGAGAGAAGAGGACCACCATCCCTTCTGTACTGTCTGTAGAAAAGAGACCTAGTACAAGCCAGGCTCGCAATTGACTGGCTCTCCTTTAAACATCACAAGTTTCTCACAGAGATTCTAGCTAGAGATTTAGGTTTGTTAACAGACTGTGGTGGAAATCCCAATGCTCAGGTTGGGAATTTTAGTAGATTTTCCTACAAACTATGAACCACTTTTGAAAACAAAAGGTCCAACTAATCACTGCGCACAAGACAGAGAGGACCCATCCCTTATCAGGAAGTTCTCTCTACCACTGTGCCAGAAATGACACCATCACTACAAATCCTACATTAACTGTGATCCATATAAAGACAGGGCAGGGAACGGTTTACCAGTGCCCCCAAGAGTGAGCCACAAGCTACATACCTTAAAAATGATGAAAGCCACAAAGAACACAAGAACAATGAACAGGAGGCAGCTGGAGTCCAATGCCAGGAGGTCATCTTTGTAGGGGAAATCAGGCTGTTAAAACATAAAAACATTCACAATTCCACCATGGCACTTGCACTTTTGGTAATCTGGGGAGCATTGTAAGACCACAGCAAAGGGCAACAAAGTCAAAAGTGACAGTTACTGCAAATTTACAACAAGAAATTAATGCAGCAAATCCAAGCCCCTTATCATCTACAGACTAATCATTTTTGATCCGCTTGTTTACTAGCTAGGATAACTAAAAGGTCTAAACAGAGCTAATATTCTTTCTACTGGCCACTATTTCCCATCTTTCTGCCTCTGACAAAATATAACCACTTGTTTAACACTCCAGCCTTGCCCCGGGTCAGATAGCCAGGAGGAACTGATATTGTAGTGGCCAGGACCAGTGTTCCACAAAGGAAGCAGCTTTTCTAGGAGTCAAATATTGGCCTCAAATCTTTATCAGCTAGGTAAGAAGAAGATATGCCACTGTCTATAAGCCAGGCAAAAGAACAGTATTACTGCTGACACACTCACTATACTGGGAAGGGTCAGCTGTACTCATCTGACTCTGGAAGGCAATGAGTTCATTGTCAGGAGAAGGGCATCAGAAGGGAAGGGAAAGTTTAAAACTGGCCAGCAGAGCTAGTAGTCTCCAATGAAAAGGACTAAGCCAATCAAATAGAGAAGAAAAACCACCAGGGTCTGTAAAAAAGCAGGGTTATTCATTGTTTGATAGTCTTTCCTACACAGGACTAGAATACAGCATGCACAGAGGCACAGGGCTAGGGTACAGCAGGCACACAGACACATGCCACTATTCTGATGAAGATGAAAACACCAATACCTTAGTAAGCAGCAAATACAGTTGAATACTCTATGAAAACACAATAGCTCAACTATCTCTTCCACACTACCTCTCTTTATGGACTTCTAGTACTGGACTGTCCTACTGGTATGGTTACAATGATCATCTATTTCTATTTTACAGGTTTTCACATGGGAGTGATTTTAAGATACTGTAAAAAGCAAAGAGTTAACAATAGTACCTAAGGCTGCTGCAGAATTTCAAATATTTTACTTAAGTGGCTAAATTTAAATAGCACTTACTAACTGATCCAGATATTCTTTGATTCTTGGCAAGTAAGTGAGAGAACTGATGGCCACCAGACAACTGAGAACGAAGTCAAAAAGCCGGTAGCAGAAGAATGGAATCAGCCAGCCCACTTGATACTGAAGAAGAAAAGTAAAATTTAGTACACTTATAAAAGCACTACCCTCAGTCAAGGTCAAATGAGGGGAGATGTAAATATAGCAGACTTACAGAAATTGCTCCATAAACCAGCATTGAACTGATTATAAACATAAGAACAGAGACGGCAAAAAGAACGCAGGCATTATCTAAGAAAAGAAAAACAAATCTAATTAAGAAACATATGCAATGAAAGAAACTAAACTCTCCAGACAAAATGACACTTTAAAATGTTTATATGTAACTGTTTAATATAACTGTAATTGTTTTCAAAAGTGGCTCTTAAAAGATCTAAGGACAAGATGAGAAGAAAATCTAAGCCTTGGCATGAAGAAATTTTGAGAAATTTACACATGCCTTTCCATGTTAAACTGATGCAACTACTCCCTGACTCTGCTTAGGATGGAACATGAACACCTAACTATAGGAAAACAGGTCCTTTGTGCCTCTACATGTCGGAGTGCAAAGAGACAATTAAAATCCAATACAGCAAGATGAAACACAGGCAGAAGCAATGAAAAACTATGAAAGAATTCACACATGTTGGGTTTTGTGAGATGAGGGTTTAACTGAAAGAAGTTGCTGTTTGTTTAAGACAGATGAATTGTGTACACACACACAGAAAAAAAAAAAAAACAAACCTACATATGTACCTCTTGCTTTGATAAAAATACCACGTGAAACTGAAAGTTCTACATTAATCCCATCCCAGAATCAAATCTTTAACCCATGGCTTCCTTCAGTTTGCCTACTCTCCCCTACACAGGTCTATTCCTTTTAGCTTTTCTTCAGTGTGCATTAACCCGTTTTCACCATTTTCTTCAAAACACAACCAAATAATCCCAAACAATACTAAACCATACTTCACTGAGGGAGTCTCTTCACAACCTATAGTTAGTTAATCCTGTGACCCTGGACAAGCACTAATAAACTAAAGGGAGATGGGAAATGTGGAAAGATAGCTCTGCTTGCTGCTCTTGCACATGAGCTAAGTACAGTTCCCAGTACCCACATCAGGCTGCTCACAATCACCTGTAGCTTCAGTTCCAGGGAATCGGATGCCTCTGGCTTCCAGTACCTGCACTCATATGCACATGCTCCTACACACACACATAACTGAAAACTTAAAAATTAAAGGGCACCAAAAATGAAGAATAATCACTAACTATTCATACTATTATATACTTATACAAATAGCTGTCACTGAGCATTATGAATACTACCAGTATTTAACATAATTACTCTATCATCTCAGAGGACCTCCAGTGTTAAGGATTTAAAAGCTCGTCCTACTTGAAGAATCAAACTACAAAGCAAGAGCCTCTCTAAAAATTGGAAGAGGGTACTAATAAAAGATCCTGAAATTTTGTTTATTATTATTTGGGGAGGAGACAGTTCAGATAAAAACAAACTACTCACAGGGAAAAATATGAGAAAAAGCTATTCCTTGCCACTCCTGTCAGCGTCAATGAACGTTACAAGGATAGGATGTATTTTTAAAAAGTCAGAAGACTCTTCAATAAAACACAGACACACATGCATTATACATACACACTCATCAATTGTTTTCATCCTATTATGTATTAGTCACAGAATTCTTCTTGGCTCTGGGAAAATTAAGTTATCCATGAAAACAAATTATTTAACAACAAAAAACAAACAAACAAAAAAACATAGATCAGGCTGGAGAGATGGCTCAGCAGTAAACAAGCTCACTGTTCTTGAAGAGCAACTGGGTTTGGTCCCTAGCACCCTCATGGCAATGTACAAACTCCAGTTCACATTGCCCTCTTTTGGCCTCTAAAGGCACTGCACACATATGGTGCGTATACACACATGCAGGCAAAGCAATCACAAAATGAAACAGTCTTTAAAAAAGGAAAGTACAATCTTCATCCTTGGATCACAGGTGGCTACAAGTTCAGAATTTCATGTTAAAAGTTAATATAACCTAAATTCCTAGGAATTAAGATCTATAGTATCATAAATACACTTGTGATTCTGGGAACAATTTTCTGAACTGAACTTTTAAAACTAAGCATGCAGAAATTGTATTCTAAACTCTGAAGCATAGGTTTCTGTTTAAGTATTAAATTTATGACATAATATATACTAATATAAATTCAATCAGAATTGTTTTATATCTATATTTTAAAGAGAAAACTGGTAATAAAAATTGCTATCAGTGAATAAATGGGTTTAAAAGGACACTTTCTATGAATGTTCTAGGGCTACTTTATTTACCTTTAATAGCAATGTTAAGTCTCTTTCCACATAAACAAGAGAACTGGACACTGTAGTTAATACTTTACTGTAATAATCCATCTGATCTACACACAACTTTCTGATCCTGACTACACATGGTATCAGGCCCGCCCTCAAGTCTCCACTATCTTTATTTCCTGTTCTCTCTGTCTCTGATCTCAGTCAAAGCATGGACACCACCTATTGCCTATATCATCTTCCTGTCCAGAAACACTCTACTGTAACTCTTGCTGAACACCTTTGGGAAAAGTAATCAAAATATTTTGCTGTCTCAAGTAGTATAAATAACATTTAACTTGTTACTTAGTATGCAAATTATTTAACCCTTCGAAGTATAACTTAAGCATAATTTTACCAATCTTCCTATAGCATTCAGATGTAGACTACAATTGGCTTTATATATAAAAATCTGGCAATGATATCTTTTAAAGTAAAAACTTACCAGCCATTCTCTCAGATGAATAGTAGTTACCAATGACTTCATACTGAATGTTGACAGCTGGCATGGAATTTGGATGAGTCACCTCCACAGTCAGCAAAATGGCCATCAATAGGTTGACCACCTGAGAAAGACAACACTTTTACATTAGCTTCTCAGGGACCAGTCTCTCTAGACTTTGTGTTACATTTAATACTGTTTCATTTGCAGTAACAAGTTTGTGAAATAGGTGACACAGATAAAACATGCATCAACATTGTGAGAACAGTTTAAAAGTCATAGCATGTATAAAGATTCTTAACCCTGTGCTAACACCAATAAGCTAGAATAAAATGCACAGAAAGTCAACTTAGGGAATCATTCGCTGTTCCTGTTTGGAGGCCCATATTTCATCACACATCCATCACAGACTTGTCAGCTCACCACCCACATGCTGATGGCTGCAACTCCTCCAAAGCACCCCCATGTATTTGGTTCAAATCCTCTCCCTCTCCTTGCATTTGTCTTAATTCTACCTGCTATGTCAATGTTCCTCTAATGCTCAAAAGCAGCTTCCAATCACTGTACACACTAAACACTCAGGTTCTCAAACCACTCCTCTCCTTTCTACCATGTTTTAGCTACCTGTCTATTTCCCCTTTGCATAAGTTCCAATGTAAAAGACAAGATTCCCTAACTTGGCACACAAATTTCAAAGATAACTGTACCGGCTTTATGCATTTTTGCAATGTCACACTGGAGTAACTCTATACTACAACACCTAATTGCTTTTCTACACTTGAGCTGATAAGCTACCTGCAAATCAGCAGAGTTGGATTCAGGTGATCATGCACAGCCTTCAATGAATCGGTACCTAAACTTCACCTTACTACATCCGTGCCCACTAAGATTTCCTAGATCTAGATTTTGACATCCTACAGACTGATTCTCTCTGGTTTCTTCATTCTGAAATATAATCATGAAATAATAATCTCCATGTAGGTCACACACACAAACACGAGCTAAGGAATATCTAGGGTCTTTGTCAAACATTTTGCTGCAATCCCATCACAACACCACAAATTTCCCTACTCTATCAGGGATATAAACTCCATTTTAAAGGAGTTCGATCAACAATACCTGAAACTCCTCTCTCTTGTCCACCCTAAATGATGGATGAATGGTAACACCTAAGAAAGTTATTTTCTTGTATCAGGCCGAGTCTTCAAAACTTTCAGTAGAAAGCAGGCCAAGGCTTATTTTAAGTTAGGTATGCTTTCTTGTACCGAACTTGTATCTTGTACTTTGGAATTAAGTTTGATATCCATTCAGCAAACCTTTGCTGAACACAGTTATCATCCATCCTAGCTTAAAAAAAAAAAAAAAAAAAAGCTTTGTATGCTACACAAAAATATTCATGTCTGGAAAAATATGAAAATTTAACTACCAAATGAAGGAAATGAAATACTAAAACTACTACTTAGGAGGTTTAAATGAATGTGTGTGTGTGTGTGTGTGTGTGTGTGTGTGTGTGTGTGTGTATACCACAGTTGTATATATGCCACAGTCCATGTCTAAAATATTTTAATCACATATGTGAAGTTTTAAAAATTCATATTTTGTTCTATAAAAAGTCATAGAATTTTCTACTGTCTTTGCTTAATATTGTTAGCAACACTTTAAAGTTTACTTCACTGTGGGTCGTACTTAGAATAGGACAGTAACTGGTCTGGGAAAACAGTACTTGTGATGCTAAGCACTTCCCATTGAACAACTACTCTATGCTCGTATAGATCCTTGCAATGTACATCACTTTCAGCTGATAGTTCTACTAAACTCCCTATCGAAATTTTCAAAAAATTAAAACTGTAACCCTATATTTTAAAAAGTCTTTTAAAATATTCTAGTTATGATTCTCCTTCATACACACACTGTATTCAGGAAAGAAGCAGAAAATAAAGGCTTGTAAATCTAGTAACAAGGCCAGGCAGAAGATAGCACATGTGTCAACAACACAGGGAAAGCACCTATTATTAATGAAGGAGGATAAGACTTTAAAAGCCTTCTGTACACTTCATGAGTAAATAAGCAGTAAGAAAACAATGTAGTGCCTTTTATTTGGTAGAAAGGAACAAGATCTAGTCCAGGGAAACACTCAGGCCCAGGCAAACAATTTCTCCCTGCTTTTCCGTATCAGTCACACACATCCTCGACGACTCAGGAATTCTTTTCTTTTTTTTTTTTTTTTTTTGGGGGGGGGTATTTTTCTCTGATGATAGAAAGTATCTGTACATCTTTATGAAGTACAATGTTATATTTTAGTACACTTATACAGCATTTACTGGTCAAATCAAGACATGTCATACCATAACCTTAAAACATTTCATTGTTTGTGGTGTGAACCTTGCTTAGCTCTATTTTTTTTATGCAATATTGACAGCTGTAATCATCCTCTGTGCAAGAGAACACTAATTGTATTTTAATCTTCTTGCTTACTAACCTCTCCTCTTGCCTTTCAGTCTCTGATGACTACTATCCTGTCCATAAACTAAGCTATTTTGTAATCTGTGAGTAAAATCATGTATTTGCCTTTCTGTAATTCATTTATCTCAGTTGTATCTTCAGTTCTATCCATGTTGCTGCAAATGCTGATTTTGTTCATTACTGCTCACAGAACCCACTGTGAATGCAGACCTCGTTTTCCTTATCCATTGTTATCAGTGGATGTCCCATCCGACCCCTACCTCCTCTACTATGAACACTGCTGCAATAAACACAGGCTGCAACAGATCTCTTTGTTATACTGATTTCCTTACTGTGGGTAAATAACCACAAATGGGATTTCTGGGTTCTATGGCATTTCTACCCTGTGGAGCTGCCACAGTTTATCCAATACTACAACTCCATACAGTGCAGATGTCCCTTTCTCCCAGTCCTTGCCAATATGCACTTTTTGTCTGGTTGACAGGCATTCACTCACTGGGTATGATGCTATCTCATGACATTCAGACATTTTTCATATATATGTTGGTCCTACTTATCTCCTTTTGAGAAATGTCTACTCAACCAAGCTCCCCTTTTAAAATGTGAGTAATTGTTTTTGCTGTTGAGTTCTTCATATACTTTGTCATTAATCTCTTGTGAGGAAGTGTGCAAATATCTCTTGCCATTTCTATAGGTTGTCTGCTCACTGTTCTGATTCTTTGGCGTAAAGAAACTTTTTAGTTCAATGCAATACCATTTGTGTGTGTTCTCTTTTGCTGTCTATGCATTTCCATTCTTGTACAGAACTTTCTTGCTCAGACTGTCCTGACTCTGTGTGTGTGTGTATGTTCCTTTGGGTCAATTTGGCACAAGCTATAGTCATCTGGAAAGAAGGAATTTCCATTAAGAAAATGCCTCCATGAGATTTTCCTGCAGGCAAGTCTGTAGTTCATTTTCTTGATTAATAACTGGTGTGGGAGGGCCAAGCTCATGGGGGGGGGGGTGCTACCACTGGACAGGTGGTCCTAGATGGCATAAGAAAGCAGGATGAGAAAACCAGTAAGCAGAACTCCCCCATAGCCTCTGCTCCAGTTCATCTAGGTTCCTGCCCTGACTTTCCTTTGGTGATGGACTTGTCATGTGGAAGTATAAGCAACACAAAGATTTCCTTCCTAAGATGCTTTTAATCAAGCATTTCATCACAGCAATAGAACACTAAGACACAAACTTGCATCAGTACTTCCCCTATATTCTCTCCTAGCAGATTTAGTCTTAAGTTTTATACTTAAGTATTTTGTAGTATTTAAGTTAGTTGCCTTTTATTTATGACAGACAAGGGTCTAGTTTCATTGTTCTACAAGTGTAGACAGGCAGTTTTCAAAGCACTATTCATTGAAGAGAATGTGTTCACCCAGCTGTGTATTTCTGACACCTCTGTTGAAAACCACTTGGCTGTGGGGAGTGTGGGTTTATTTTTGGGTTCTCTATTCTGTTCCATTGGTCTACATGTCTATTTTTGTACCAGGACTAAGCTATGTTAGTTATGACAGCTTTACATTTTGAAACTGGACAATGTGATACTTCCAGATTTGGTCTTTTTGCTCAAGACTTCTTTGGCACAGTCTTCAGTGGTTCCATTCAACGTTGGAACTGTTTGCTCCTACTAAGTGAAGAACAACAGCAGGTACGCTCCCTTACATTAACAGACCCCTTTGGGTAGTATGGCACCCATGTTCCGATGCATGTCTTTCCATTTGTTTGTGACCTGCCTGAAGTCTTTCATCAATGTTTTATTTTCACTGTAAACTCTTTCACCTCCTAGTTAAAGTTACTCTTGGGGGGAGGGGGAGGGTTTTTCTTGCACAGCTATGACAAGCTTCCCTAATTTCTCTTTCAGACAGTTCATTTTTGGCATATAAACTATTCTTCAACTCTTCAAATTTATTAATTCTGACAAAAAATTTTTTTTCAGTCCCTTTCCTATGTGTAAGCTTTTCATCTGTTTGCTTGGTAAACTGCTCTGGCTAGGACTTTCAATACTATGTTGAACAGAATTATTAAAAGGCACCATTATGTGGTTTCTTATCTTACTTAGAAGAACTAATTTGGTATGGTGCTAGCCCTACTTTTTTCATGTGAAAGGATGGTAAAATATATCAAATACATAACTGCACATATTTTTTGAAATTGTCATCTGGATTTGGTCCTTTATCCTACATATATACCACCTTCATTGATGTTCCTGGGTTGAACCATTCTTGAATCCTTAGGATAAATACCATTTGATCATAAGGATTAACTCTATAATTGAATTGTTTACCAGTGTTGTATTGTGAATGTCTGTACTGCTCAGATACTAGCCTAAAGTGTTTTGTTTAGGAGTCTTTTATTGTTTGTTTTGTGTCCTCCATTGTTGGAGAATAATTTAGAAAGATAGTAGTGGGTCTTTAAATTAATTTTGTAGAATCCGTTGATGAAATAATCAGACCTTGGACTTTTTTTCTTTGTTGGGAAACTTTTCACTACTAATCCAATCACATTACTTGTTCGCTTTATGGTCTATCTTTGCTAGGCTGTGTTCAAGATTTACCTAAAGATTCCAATTTACTGGCAGAGAGTCCTTTGTTCTAATCTCTCTAAATGTCTCTACAACACTGTAGT